CCTCTTCACTTACCATGGTCGCCTTTCACCAACCACCGTCATCGGGCCTTTTATCATCACCACCCCACCACCACCATCAACCTACCATCACCACCACCACCACTGTGGCCTACATCACCACACACCACCGTCACCTACATTCACCACCACCCCACCGTCACCTACATCACCACCATTCCCGCCACCACCGTCACCTACATCACCCACCATTCCCGCACCACCGTCACCTTAACATCACCACCATTCCCGCCACCACCGTCACCTACATCACCACCATTCCCGCCACCACCGTCACCTACATCACCACCATCACCAACCAACCACCGTCACCTACATCACCCACCAACCCGTCACCTACATCACCACCCACGTCACCTACATCACACCACCGTCACCTACATCCAACCACCACCAACCGTTCAACCTACATCACCACCACCACGTCACCCTACATCACCACCACCACCGTCACCTACATCAACACCCACCACCACCGTCACCTACATCACCACCACCGTCACCTACATCACCACCACACCACACACCACTGTCACCTACATCACCACCCCCACCGTCACTACATCACCACCACACGTCACCTACATCACCACACCCACCGTCACCTACATCACCACCACCACCGCTCACCTACATCACCACCACCACCGTGCACCTACATCACCACCACCACCGTCACCTACTATCACCACCACCACCGTCACCTACATTCACCACCACCACCGTCACCTAACATCACCACCACAACGTTCACCTACATCACACCACACCGTCACCTACATCACCACCACCACCACCGTCACCTACATTCACCACCACCCACCACCGTCCACCTACATCAACCACCCACCCACCGTCACCTACATCCCACCACCACGTCACCTACATCACCACCACCAACCGTCACCTAACATCACCACACCACCACCGTCACCTACATCACCACCACCACCACCGTCACCTACATCACCACACCACCGTTCACCTACATCACCACCACCACCGCCAACCTACATCACCACCACCACCGTCACCTACATCATCACCTCCGTACCTACATCGCCACCACCACACAACCACTACCGTCACCTACTCACCACTACCGTCACTACATCGCCACCACACGTCACCTACATCACCACCACCACCGTCACCTACATTCATCACCTGCGTCACCTACATCATCACCTCCGTCACCTACATCGCCACCACCACCAACCGTCACCTACATCACCACCCACACCCGTCACCTACATCACCACCACCACCGGTCAACTACATCCACCACCACCACCGTCACCTACATCACCACCCACCACCCTCACCTACATCACCACCCACCACCGTCACCTACATTCACCTCCGCTCAACCTACATCGCCACCACCACCACCACTTACCGTCACCTACATCACCACTACCGTCAACCTAACATCCGCCACCACCGTCACTACATCGCCACCACCACCACGTCGCCTCACCACAACCCACCACCGTCGCCTCACCACCACCACCACCGTCGCCTTCACCACCACCGTCGCTTCACCATCGCACCACACCACCGTCGCCTTCACCACCGCCCCCACCACCACCACCACCGTCGCCTTCACCCACGCCACCACCACCACCGTCGCCTTCACCACCGTTCGCCTTCCCACCGTCGCCTCACCACCGCCCACCACCGTCGCCTTCACCACGCCAACACCACCACCACCGTTCCGCCTTCACCACCGCTACCACCACCACCACACCCACCGTCGCCTTCACCACCGCCACCACCCACCACCACCGTCGCCTTCACCAAAACACTCGTCACCTTCACCACCACCACCGTCACCTTAACACACCACCCACCACCACCACCGTCGCCTTTCACCACCACCACCACGTCGCCTTCACCACCACCACACCACCGTTCGCCTTCACCACCACACCACGTCGCCTTCACCATCCACCACCACCACCACCACCCGTCGCTTCACCACCACCAACCACCGTCGCCTTCCACCACCACCACCACCACCACCCGTCGCCTTACCACCACCACCACCGTCACCTCCACCACCCGTCACCTACATCACCACCGTCACCTTCACCACCACCACCGTCACCTTCACCACCACCACGCTCACCTTCACCCACCACCACCACCACCGTCACCTACATCGCCGCCACCACCACCCAACGTCGCCTTCACCACCGCCACCACCACACCATCACCGTCGCTTCACCACCACCACCACCCGCGCCTTCACCACCACCACCACCACCGTCGCCTTCCGCCACCACCACACCACCACCACCACGTCGCCTTTCGCCACCACCACCACCACCACACACACCACCACCGTCGCCTTCACCGCTTCGCCTTCACCACCAACGTCGCCTTCACCGCCACCAACCACCGTCGCCTTCACCACCGCCCACCACCACGCGTCGCCTCACCCACCCACCGCCACCACCCACCACCACCACCGCCGTCTTCACCACCACCACCACCGTCGCCTTCACACCACACCACCACCACCACCACCTCCTCCGTCGCCTTCACCACCACCACCACCACCGTTGCCTTCACCACCACCACCACCGTCGCCTTCACCACCACCACCACCACCGTTGTCTTTCCCGTTTTTGAACAATGGTTTAATTTTTGCAATTTTGAGTATATCTGGGAATAAACCTTGTTTTTAGAGAGTAATTGCAGATATGAGAAAGTGGTTACACTATACATTGAATACTCTGATAAGATAATGTGAAATGTTGTCCAGGCCTGCTAACAATTTATTCTCCATATGTCCAATTATTTTAAACATTTCAGAGTGGTGGTTTCATAAAAAAATATAGAATTTACAATTTGTATAACATTAGTGTTTGGTTGGTGTGTTTTATTGTTTAGAAAGTATTGAGAGATCATTGATTTACCAATTTGTGAAAAGTGTTCAATGAATATATCAGCTAATTCTTGGGGGTCTCATAAAGTTTGGTTTTTGTAGTTGAGCTCTATATTTCTTCTGTTATTACTAGTTGCTGCTGAAGTTTTTTTTAAAATGTCCCGCGTAGCTTTTGTTTTGTTACGTGCATTTGCAATATACTTAGCATTTTTCATCATTTTTGCTTGTTTGATTGTTATTATTATTATTATTATTATTATTATTATTATTATTATTATTATTATTATTATTATTATATTATTGTTTTTAGAATTGAATTATATGTTTTGTAGTATGCAATGAAGTAGGAGTTACATTTGTTATTTATTAGTATTTTACACAGGTTGTGTTTTCTTTTTAATTTTTTAAATAGTTAATGAAGTAAATTTCCCTTCTATTGTAGGCCTTCACCACACTTGGTAATAATGCCTTGCGCCTCATAACATTGAATAGTGTGGGTGATTTCATACTTTTCCTGGGAAAATGTTTTGTAACTGCTGTGACTGGCTCAGTGGGCCTTCTTTTCCTCAAGCAGGACCCACATTTGCATTTCTATGCCATTCCAACTCTAGTTGTTTGCATATTTGCATTTTTTATTGCACATTGTGTATTGTCATTGTACGAGGTAAGTTCAATCATTCATAGGTAAATTCTTGTACTAAAAACTTACTTAACTGTGAAATGATACCTTCACAGATTAATTTATTCTTTTCACAGATTGTTATTGACACAATGTTTATTTGTGTTTGTGAAGATGAGCGTCTCAATCCCAATGGAGGAGAATGGAGTAATTCTCGGGTTTTGAAAGCCCAACGTTCAGAAGAAGGGGCTGAGTTAACTCCTATTAATACTCGTGACAGATCGTGAAAATTTGTTGTCTTATTTGTAGTTAAGATAAGTTTTCTCTGTATATAGATGCTTAATTGTTATCCTGTTAAATTTCTTGTCAGAAAAAAAATTAGGAAGAGTATTCGACACTTTAAGGTAAGCTTTATAGAATGTAGTGGTTCAACAATTATGATCAAAATGTGGTTATTGAAAACAAAATTGAAACAAGAAGAAAAAATATATACTTTTTTAGTTCTTTTATGTGAAAGAAATCTTTTAGTAAATATAATAATCCAAAGTTGATCAATTAAAGTTTTATCACAATTTCTTTGTGAAATGAAGGTTGGAAATTCATTTGTCTTTCATGTTGACATGTTTTATGTAAATGCTTTGTGGTTTTGCGAGTCATGAATTTACAGAATATTTATGTTTGAAGACTGGTTGAATGAATAAATGAAGAATGAATGATTGAATGAATGAATGAATGAATGAATGAATGAATGAATGAATGATTGATTGAATGGTTGTATCAGCAATTGGGAAAAATAAATATATGATGAAACTGTAGTATTAAGTAAAGGAAGGCACAAATTAGTTAGTAAAGAGCGTTTGAATTTACATTTGTATTTATGGAATACTTTATTAATTGTGCATATATATTCTGTGTAAAATGCATCACAAAACAATGTGTCAATACACAGGTTCCACTTAATTTTTGTTTCTATTGTCTCCATCATGTAATATGAAAACCAGTGTACAATATCATTACATTAATTGTGCTGCCAACATTAAAATCTTCCCCATTCCATGCAACTTATTTTATGTAATATCTTTTAAGTATTAGCATTTCATGTTTCATTCACTCCCTTGTGGTATTTGCTTATAAAATCAGAAATTGTGCAAACACATGGCACTTAATATGTAATGAAGATCATATATTCTTCCTCTGTGCAGAGTTCAGAAACAACTGTCTGCAATAACTTTGGTTTGATGTGACTGTTTGTACTTTGCCTATGAATTTAACAATGTTAAAAAGATAAACAAATATTTTGATTACTGCAAATGAAAGGGAAGGGATTAAGTGTTAGTTGTTTATTTCAAAGTTGACAGATGCTTGATGTTATTTTATAAAACAGTGGCTCTGTGTATGTGGTTCATACGTTTTCCTTGAAATGTGCCATACATTTTTGGACAGAATGTGTAGCAGTCCATTGTGCCTAATTTATAATTGTTTCATGATTGAATGTGAAGTTCCTTTTGAAATTTGCCAACAGCCAATATACTGGAAATAAAGTATGTTACTGTATTTTAAACTAGTTTAGATTCACAGTATTTTTTGTAACTTTTACAACAAAAAAATAGCCTAAAGTACGTAGCTGAATGCACATGTCAGTTTAATTTAGTACGTTTAGAAAATATGCAGTAAATATGCCTTTCTCTTGTGCTCAAGTGCATTATAAGTCAAAGTTGATTTGAAAGAAAACAGTAGTGCATAATTGAATGAGTAAGTTGATGTTACAAAAACCACATCTGTTTTTATAACAAAATGCTCTTTTCTAATGTCATGTTGTATTGATGGTTTAAACCAGGCCTGGCCAACCCATGACCTGCAGATTACATGTGGCTTGCCATGTTAAATTGAGCTGCCCTCCAGACAATTTTATATTACAAATATTGAAACTTTATTTCTTGTTATATGTAAAAAAATATTAAACAAATGAAAATTTACATGTGCTCCTATTAACAGTTGCACAAAACAAAGAATTTGAGATAATTTTCCCAAGTTTGTCATTATGTATTCTGTTTAGCCAGCTAGGTTTATGTCTAGCTAGCTAGGTTTAAGCATTGTGTTGCTGCACATTAAATGGCACGTGTCACAGGTTAACACTATCTTATGGGAAGAGGCACTCGAGCTCTTAAGCTGTTCCACATAAGATATAGTATTAATCTACATTGCACATTATTTAACATTCGTCAGTGCAACACTTGTGTCACACAGGCCTTAGCATTTAAAATAACTACAGTGTATAAACCAAAATATAGAGTAGGTGAGCAAATTTGTCACATTGGCACAGTATGGCATGAAAATGGCTTTCGTTTTGTTGCTCTGAATTAGCAATTGATAGAGTATCTGCTATGGTAGGTAATAATAAAGGAGCTGTAAAATTACTTGTAGACAAGCTAGATTGCAGAGACCAAATCAAAGATGTGTTTGTATTCACTGATACAACAAGAAAATGTATGTGGTCGTATTCTATCCATGAATTATGTTAGAAATGTAGTTATAATGATTGTAAATTACATTTGGTGACTGGTCAGCATCAGCAATTGAAAGAATTCCTTAGTGACATATCTACTGACTATGATGATAACATATATTTAACAAATGTTTAATGGTTAAGGCATTGAGAATTCTTAAAAAGATTTGTGATTTATGAAAGAAAGAAATCTCTTGAATTAAGTTTCCTTCATTTCTCAGAATTAATCAAATGTGCTACATAGTGTGGAATATTTTCATGCGCATTTAATGTTGGCGTGAACAATGTTCCTGAAAATGTGAAAATGCTTATAGTGCAATAATGAAATGAAACACATACCATTACTCATGTCAGGAAACCAATTAGAAACTCAGATCTTATCCCTGCTGGGGCTGTGCCTAGCTGGCAGAGATTCCTGGAAGAGGGAATATTCTGCATGCAGACATGTATGTTGGCACCAGATCTGATGTTTTAGCAGGGATAAAACACCACCTCTCATGTTGTAACTTTCACTACATGTATGTGATTAATGACTAGAAACCAGAAATTTGGCAAAATGCCCCTCTATAATTGGTCAATTTTAAGAAATTAGACAATAGGTGTGGTTTAACTGTACTTCATTTTATTATTAACTTGATTGGCCACATTGGACCACTTGAGTCGTTCCACTTCACTTATGGTTGACTGTCGAAGGTATCACCTTGAGGTGAGGATAAATCCTGGAGTTACAATTCTGTTATTCAGAAAGGTGATGAGAGATGGAGGATGATGGATGATAGGGGGTGAAAGGACGAACACAATACAACCAAGCCCGAGGCTGGACTCGAACCCGCGATCTTTTGGTACGAGATCGGTACGGCACTACTGCCCTAGCGATCTCGACCACCGGATCGGCTGTACTTCATTTATTTTAGAAGATTTTAATTTTGTCTGTTTTTGGTATTTTGCCTTATTTTGCTCTTTTCATTTTCCTTAATTCATGTTAAAAATCATCAAAGAAAGTGTGAAAATAGTTTTTGGATGCTAAAAGACTTTTCTCACTTGAAGAATCTCATCCCGTCTTTGAATATGGCCTCCAATATTTTTCAAGAACTATAAACAGCCCTTCTCAGTGCTGGTAATTTCATACAGGTTTAAAAATGAAAACAATAATATCGTTTTAACTTATGCCATTCCAGGATTCAAATGACAATAGTTAAGTTCACAAAAGCATTTTGTAGAGACTGCATGTGAACAAATTTATTGTAATTTCATCAAAATTTAGTGTGTCTCTTGACAATTTTGGTAGTGAACTGAAATTTGTGATAGATGGAACATACAATAATTAGTATCTAATGTTTACATGCAATCAATATTTCAAAGGAAATATGATTTCCTTCTGTGTTAATACTGATAAACTTTAGAATTAAAAGAAAGAATAGAATTGTTTATTTATGAATTTTTTAAATTAATATTTGTGAATCATTATTTTTCATTTATTACATTCCTTTTTAACAAATATTTTAGCCAGAATAAATAAATGCCTTTTTGACTTTCTATTTTAGGTAAAATAATTGCCTAAATTTCCAATCTCTATAAATGACAATATTAGTTGACACTCAGAAAAGCCAATCAATCAATCTAAGAAATATTCAAATTTATGTTATTTTGCACAATGAGTTGTAAATGATTTGGATCTACACATTTCTGAAACACGAGTAGTGTACCTTTTTACCTCTTAAACTCTCACAAGTCATTCAAGAAACCCGCCTTAGGTGGTTGTATCCTTCATTTCCAGTTTTTTTGAAATATTTTTCTTGATGAAATTTACAAAGAATTATTCTATGTTTAATTAACTATTAACAAATTAGAAAACGTGCTAAGATGAGCAACATCTAATATAAAAAGAAAAAAAGTGAAAGAAAGGAGAACAAATATCTGACTAATAATTAAGACATTCACACTCAAGAGTTAATTATACTGAATGATTGTACAATAAAAAAAAGTTATATTAATTTTATACTTCTTCACTTCCCGGGCTACATGGTTTATACCTCTATTACTTTTGTTAAAAATGTATCTATTTATGTAAAGTGTAGCCCAGTTATACTGTTGCATGTGATGGTGGCCCATGGATTCATTTGGGTAGCCAGGCCTCGTTTAAAGTTTAATGAACTAAAATAATAATTTGCGCTTAGTGCCTTTGAGATAAATTATTGTTAATTTATTCTGATGTAAATGGTATTTGGAGTTAGGTAATCATATTTAACATGAAGGGAACAATATGCAAGATATATATTAGATATCATCTCAAATGTGATTACTCTTGAAATACATTTATATCTCAATAAGACATTCATTAGTAGCTGTTAATTAAGAAATGAATTTTATCTAAAACCATAACCTTCAAAATACTAGTCGCAGATTATACAGTATTTGTGCTATTATTGTTTAGTCATGTACATTTTCATGTTTTTTCACAAGTTTATAATGTGCACCATGAAGGCATTATTTTCTTTTGTAATCATTCAGTTATCAATCTTCATATTTGTTCATGACTATTGTTTATCATCTTAATGTTAATATTATCAATTTAAGTAGGCTTTATTGTTTATTTTGTATTTACAAATCTATTTGCATTAATTTGATCTTCCATTTCAGGTCTTCCAGATTTTATATTTCAAATTCTTCCTAGCTTGAACATTATATAATAAGCAAATGTTGCTGTATGTTATGAATAATCGAAGTCTCTAATGTATTGCACGAAGTTACAACTTACAAATTGTTTCTATTATGGAAAATGATATAGATAAGTAGTTATACCTAATGACAGAAAAGTTAGAATAAGCTGTTAGTTTAGAGATTATTGTAATTTAAGAATTTAATTTCTTGAAAGTGTTGGTGAAATTTTAGAATGAATTCTTAAATGATCATTAATTCATTATCTCATTTACAACTGCTTTGTACACTTTAAAAGCAATTGTGCTGGTAAAGATTGATAACAAATGTGATCCCTTCAATTTTCATATATGTACTGTATAGTGAGGATATTATTTTTTTCTCCTAGGAGTTAGACTATTGCAATCTCCTCAGTAAGTCTATTGGTCTTCTTAATTTTGTTCCTTTTAATGTTCTTCCCCTTTCTCGTTTTTTTTTACAGTGACCCAGTTTAGTGTTGGTGTCTTTTGATCATTAGTGATCAGGGATTACTTTTTTTTTTTTAATTTATTTATTTAAGGTCACATCAACAACTATACCATTAGCCACCACTATTGGATTTAATGTTATGGTAATTATGAAGATGAGATGATATGATGATGATGGAGGGTGAAAGGACGAACACAAATTATGCCCGTGGCAGGTCTCGAATCCGCGATCCTTCAGTTTGAGATAGGGATTACTTGTTTAAGCCTCTAGAAAGAATTCTCAGGAATCTTATCTTGGGAATATTGTAAGAACAAACAACACCTCTCGTCTATTCCTACTATTCCTAAAGCAATGTACCACTTAAATCTTCTCTGGTTGTAAATCTTTTATTTTGTTCTTAAGCTACACTTTTTTAAAAAATTTAATCCAAATTTAATTTATTTCAGAGTTTACTTGTAAAGTGAACAAGGAAAGTAAAATTACTTTTTCAAGCGATTAGGGGAACATAGTTTCTCTATTCAAGACTACTCTAGTATTGCACAGTTCTTTCAACTTACAAGAATACAATTATTAATTTGTTTTCTTGTTTGTTGTAAAAAGCTTTTATTTTATACTTATTGGCTTGAGTTAATTTAAACTAGACAATCACAAAGGTGTTAAATATGGTTCTTGTTTGCGGATATCTGCTTTAAAAAAATCCAAAATATGAATTGTTAATTTTAATTCTTTGTGCCCTTTTTGATATTGAGTTGATTTGCATTTATCAGCTCCGACAACTGTTATTTAAGACTTTATTACACATCTTTTGCTGTCGCAAGCTAGTTGTAGAGTTGAGCTGTTAAAAGCGGTATATCCAACAAATTGATGACTATGTGTTGTTGTTGTTGTTTTTGAGATTTACATTGATTTCATTTTTTAGGGTAAAGAATCTCCTTATGTTATGAAACTGGGAGTTTTGTTGCATCTTGACTTAATGTCCTTTGTTTTAAGGGATCATTCTGAACAGTAATGTGCTTATTAGGAATCTCATACTGATTCTATTAATGCATGTTGCCGACATTACGGTTGAAACCCTGATTAAAATTCTTATTGAAATTTGATATTGAAACTGTCAGGTGTTGGTGCCAGAATGGTACAACTAGTGTTTAGAATTCTGTACATCTGGATGCATTGTAGAAACTATTAAAAACATTTTCGTAGTCAGTCATAATTAGAATTCAGTTGTCTATGGAATTCTGAATACAATACAACCAAGGTTGCCAATCATTTTCTTGCTTGAACCATCTTTAAAAAATAAATTGGAAAAATCTGCTATGCAACCATTAATAGCATTAATAAACCCAATAAAATTTGATTGTCATTAAAATTCTTTTCTGAATTACAAAGTAGCTCATCACTTAAGTTCAAAGCCAAATTGTTAAAAAATCAATAATCAAACGTTAATAAAATGTGTTTACCCTACAAAAAAAAGAAATTAATGCAATAAAACAGAACATTCATTCCATAAGCTGTAAACAAAACATAATTATCCTCAAAGTCAATGTGTACCAACTTGTTCTAATGTAAACTTTGTTGAGGTTAAACTTGAAAATAACTTCAATGGTGCAAACATGTGCCTGTCGGTTAAAAAAATGTAGTCTTATTTGATGTCTGTAATAGTTTTAAATCAAATTCTCCATTTAATATGTTTTTGTTTTTATCTACTGTGTAAGTGTAGATTTGTTTGAAAGTTAAAATTTTGTCATTAAAAAATTATTTTTGTGAACTTTCTTTACAAAGCTTGCAAACCACTGTGCAGAACTCAGTGATAGGGATAGAGGTAACATATTTACAAAATTGGTTTCTAACAAATGGTTCAAAAAATGCCTTTCAAATAGCAGCTTTAACAACAGTAAGCAGCTCAACTTTTTGTCCGTCCGTGTGGTGCAATTAGATCGATAAAAGAAATTAATAAATAGATGGCTATTCAAGTTTGAAGAATAATATATCTGAATTTTGCTAGTGTATTTCTAGCTGCATGTTAGAAACCACTTCTAGGTTGTTAGAAACAGTGTCAAACAGTATTCTGTATTTTAAAATTAGTTAAATGTTTTACTAAATATGTCATTAATGAATATTCATGTTTACCATGATTGAGTAGTATTGACAAGTAGTTAATTCAAGATGTCATTAGATCAAATGGTCTATTGTTACACACTGATTTGTATTTTGAGGTTCTGTTACTGTTATTATGTGCCTTTAGTACCTCACACAATAGAATATTCAGTGCAGTCACAGTATGTTCCTCATGAATGTATGTACAAAACTTTTCATAAAATGTTTGCAGTGTTCTGGAATTTAGTAGTTTATGAATCATTTATGAGTTTCTAAAAGAGAGTCAGACTTTAGTTTTTTGTGACTTCCTTTTAATGGGCATGTGGAAAATATATTTTAGGCAATTGCAAATTGTATTTATATGTACATATTTTGTTATTAAATTAAATTATATGTATGTAATGAAGTTAATAGTGTTCCTCTCCAATTTTTCCTTCATTAGTGACTGTTATTCAATGTTTGCCACATTCACATATGGTCATGCATATTTTCCTAATATTTCTCCACAAATGTGCAATGTATATTCTTCTAGTAATTCTTTAAAATTTGCCCGTGTTTCACCCAAAGTTTCTGAAAAATACTTCATATTTTCAAAAATGTTTGAACTTTTGTAAATTTGGAAACATTATGGACTTTGATTTAAATGAAACATATACCACTCTTCTAAACGTATTTTTTGATATCCAAGGTCTAATTTAATTAAAAAATTTCGAGCCATTTTGGAGATTTTAAAAATGTTGAGGCTTCATGTAAAGAAGCCACAAAAATCAAAATATCTGCAGAGCGTC